CCTGATGTCCCTCTGTAACACTGCTTCTTGGGATCAGTGTGTAACCTCTTGCCTGAAAGTCCCCTTCACATAATCGCATTTATCAGGTCCTGGATCCATGCTGTTCAGTGTTTTCCTGATATTTCATGGCTAAGTCTAAAACCTTAGGGACCTTGGAGTCCCTAGAAAAAATAATTATTTTATTTTTATTATTTATGCTGAATATAAAATTATTAACAAAGAGTATTTTTTTTCTTTTTATTTCCTTTTCTTTCCTTTGTTAAAAATATTTTTTAAGAGGGTTTCTTTGTGCAGTCCTGGATGTCCTGGAATTTGCTCTGAGGACCAGGCTGACCTCAAACTAAGAGTCCAGCTGCTTCTGCCTTCTGAATACTGGGATTAAAGGTGTGTGCAAAAAAATGTGTATTTTATGTGCATGAGTACTCTATCTGCATGGTCACCTGTATGCAAGAAGAAGACATCGGATTTTATTATAGATGGTTGCGGACCACCGTGTGACTGCTGGACCTTTGCAAAAGCAGCTAGTGCTCTTAACCACTGAGCCATCTCTCTGGCCCCATAATTTTGTTTTCTGACATAATATTTTCTAGAAACTAAGAAATGTGTCATAGCTGAGTCTCACGTTTCTTAGGAGTCATTGTGTTCCTTTACGCTGATCAGTAAACTCCTTGAGGGTGGCACCCTGACAGTGTGATGCTTTCCCAGTTAGCGGTGCTTGGGAACCCTGAGGAGGCACCCAGCACAGGAGAGAAGGGATGTGGACGGGGAAGGGGATGAGAAAATATAGTCTTCCAACAGAAGGAAAGCTCAGCTACTCCTGATGATCTCTTGAAGAGAGTGACCACTGTTAGCAGACTAAGACCTAAGGCCATCACTGCCCCTCATCACAGGGGCTCCACACTGGTACATACATTCTACATGACACTTATGGGCACACCGTCTTACTTGCTTTCCCGTTGGCTGTGACAAAATGCCTGGCAAAAGCAACTGTTCCCACCTCCCTGCTCCCACCTCCCCAGCACTGGAATTATAGACACACATTTCCATGTGCACTGGAGACTGAATTTAGGAACTCATGCTTGTGTGACAAGCAAACTTACTACTGAACCATCTCTCCAGCCTCACCCCCTGCTGCCTAACATTTTAGCAGCTCTAAAACTGGAATTCATTTCCATTCAACAGCATCTCCTGATTATAGCTGGCATTGCTTTCTCTCTTTCTGGTCCATGAAAATGATGATGTACCTCCTCCCAGCTAACTGTGTCTGAAGGCCATTGAAATGCCATCCTGTGCTCAGTTGGTATTTGGAGGTGCATGGGGACAGTTGGACCATACTTCCCACCTCTGTGCCCATTGTTAGGTCAGCACAGTGAGAAGCTAGTGCTAGGTTTCTGCCACCCATATTTGTTTAAGCAAACCAGCATGAGGGTATCATAGGGACTTCAGAACAAGCTACTTGTCCTTTGGGGGCCTCTCAAGCACACCTTGCCTAAGAGTTCACCCCGGGCCAAGGTGACAACTGTCTGGTAATGATGTAGGAAGAGCCTGAAGTAATAAAATTAGTGCTATAAAGGATTTACTAATATGCTTGCTTAGGAAATACAAAGTAGAACTTAGGTAAAAGAGCACTGACCCCAGTATGGCTGGAAGGTACGGCAGGTGCTGGCCAGGCTGGTTAGAAACTGTAGCAAGAAGATTCTGCACCACAGCTGTTCAAAAGAACAACACTGTTGTACTTAAAAACAATTCTGCTAATACTTTGCTTTGTAAATCTCTCATCTGCCCAAGTGGCCAGACTGGCAGTCTCCTGTGTCTGTTTAATTGTTCAAAGTGTGAGCTGGGGCAGGACCTGAAGGACACTTGAGGATGACATTGTATGTGGAAAGTATAAGCCTAAGGCCTATATGAGCTGGTCAAATGCTCTGTGCGAGGCCAGCTTCCCTTCGTGCATTAACCAGAACCAGTTGTGAGCTTTTTATTAAAGAACCTTCTTCTTTATTAATGTCTAAGGCTGTGGACCGATTCCCCGCTGGGAAGGCAGGTAATTCTGTGACAGTAGCATCCTTTAAACATCTGATTTGAGTTCCAGCTACCTGTTCCTCTCTCGTGGACTCATGTGGGCTCCATGAGAGGAGCCACTCATGGGGTTATGATTAAAACATTACCTTCACAGCAGGCTCTCTATGCTAATTATTTAAAGATTATATTACTAACACTGGTGTGTGTGTGTGTGTGTGTGTGTGTGTGTGTGTGTGTGTAGCCAGAAGAGGATGTCAGATCCCCTAAAGCTACAGTTACAGGTGGTTGATTGTAAGTCATCCCATGTGGGTCCTGGGATTCGAACTCAGGTCCTGTTTCGAACTCAGGTCCTGTGCAACAGCAGTAAGCGCTGAGCCATCTCTTCAGTCCCTCCATATAAAATATTTCAAAGCTGATTATAAACAGTATAATACAGGCGAGCTCCAGGCTGGGGAGAAATGCTGTCTGACAAAAGGGTGGATAGAACCTGGGGGACGACATATAAGGTTGTCTCTGTCCTTCGTGTGCACACATGTGCGCACACACACACACACACACATACATACACACACACACATTTTCTATGGCACAAGATACTTCAGAAATACAGGATCAAAGACCCAGTGAGAACTGTGTTCATGCTCGAGTTCTAGGAAGAGTGGGCAGCCATTTGAAATGTATGATTAGACAGAGTATGGGTGGCCTAATGCGTAGGACCATCAGTGGGAAACCCAGCCAGGCCTGTCTGCTCGGAATCTTTTTTGCCTCTCTGAGCAGCGTACTCTCCTATTGGAGTGGGGGCCTACAAAGGAGTCTAAGACCATGAGTTCTGAGTGTTACAGCTTGCTGTAGGAGAGAGGTGACAGAGGGCAGGGCAGGAAAAGGGCAGAGAGCCCTTGTTTCTGATGCCTTCTAGTCTTCTTCTGTTTAAGTGCTCAGCTTGATGAGGAGTCGTGTCTTGGGAGCCTCTATATATAATAGGCATACAATTAGACAATATTCGTTAGTTGTATGAGGCAACTCAAAAAAGTGACAGTATTTATAAAGAAGATACTATCTTTGATGACACAGATGAAGGCTTCATTCAATACATTTAATAAGTGCGGAAAAATTTAAGTACTCTATTAAATACAGTTGGGATTCTATATGTGTGCAAGACTAATAAATCCATGCTAACAATGTGACTAATTGTTGGTTCGTTTATATTACTATAAGTTATTAAATTTTTGTACCCTGTCATTGGGATCCAACTCACCGGATTATTTTGGGCCACCTTATATAACAATATTTGTTAAGTGTCTTCAAGTTTTTGTTGTTGTTGTTGTGATAAAGCACCATTACCAAAAGCAATCAAGGGAGGAAAGGGCTAATTTTTATGTCATAGTGAATGGCAGTCCATCATCATGGGAAGTCAGGACAGGCATTCAAATAGGCTGGAACCTGGAGGCAGGAGCTGACCCAGAGGCCATGGAGGAGGAGCGCTGCTTACTGGCCTGCTCTCCATGGCTTGCTCAGTCTGCTTTCTTATAGTCCCTAGGACCACTAGTCCAGGGATGGCATTGCCCACAGTGAGCTGGGCTCTCCCACACTGATCTTCAGATTAAAAAAAAAAAAGTACCACAGGTTTGCCCACAGGCCAGTCTAGTGGGGGCACTTTCTCAATTGCAGATCCACTTTCCAGAGTAGCTCTAGCTTGTGTCAAATTGATAGAAAACTATCCCACACAGTGGGTTGTTAAGGCTTCAGCTATAGCCTTTAAGGCATAGGGTAGCCCAGCTGAGGTTGTTGTCTTTTAGGGCCGGCACCTGTAAGAATGGAATCCCATCAGGAGATGAATGAGGTACCCAAGTTCAGCTTTTACCTATTATTAATTTTTGGATGCCCTTGAATTTGAGTCCTAATATGAAACCTCCTGCTTATGGTTTTATTTTCATGATTTTTAATGGCTATTTCAGAATAACCCCAGCAAGTCCTTGGAGATCTGTTCCTTCCTTTTTTGAGGTGGTATTTCTTATATTCCAGGCTGCCCTGGAACTCTCTGTATAGCCAAGGATGACCTTGAACCTTTTTGTTTCTTTGTTTTATTTTTCAAGGCAGGGATTCTCTGTGTAGCTCTGGCTGTCCTGGAGCTCACTTTGTAGACCAGGCTGGCCTCAAACTCAGAGAGTCACCTGCCTCTGCCTCAGGGCTCACCTTGAACTTATCTTCCTGCCTCTACCTCCGAGAGCTGGGGTTACAAGTGTGAACCACTATATTTGGTTTATGCTGTGTTCAGGATCAAATCCACAGCTTTATGTATGCTAAGCAAGGACTATGCCAACCGAGAAACATCTCTAGCCCTTTTGTTATTAAAAGACATAGAAACTTCTGTAAGATGAAGTCTTATATGAAGCACTATTAAACTGCATCTTCCTGATGTGTTTGGATTTCATCTTAGAAACTGTGATGGTTAACTTAATTGTGTACTTGACACAACTTGAGAGTCCTAATGAGGGATTGTCAACACTGGGTTGGCCTTTAAGCATGTTTGTGCAAGATTATCTTAAATTAATTGATGTAAGAAAATTAAGGCACCGTGGGTGACATCACTCCCTAGGCAGGGGTTCCTGAATTGCATGAGAATGAAGAAAGTGAGCTCACGGTGATCAAGTGGGCCTATATTCATTTCCGTTGACTGTTGGTGTCACGTGACCAGCTCTCTCAAACTCCTGCCACGGTGACTTCCCTGCAGTGATAGACTATAGCCTGCACATTTTAGCTAGAATAAGCCCTTTGTTCCTAAGTTGCCTTTAAAAAAAAAAATCAGTGCTTTGCCACAGCAAGAGAATTAAAAGTAGAGCAAAAGCCCTTTGGTTCGGTTCAAGCATGTCTCTAGACCTCTGCATAAAGACACAGCAACCCGAGCTGCAATGTTGGCGATCCTGAGGCCGGCAGTCTGATTCTTCTAGTGTCTTTGGAACGAAGAGCTTGTTTCCCAACAGGTAGGACTAAAAGGATCAAGGAGTTCATTCCAGGCTCAGTGATGTCTGAAGGGCTTAAGATCGGCAGTGTGCCACAGCTCCCCATCACCCGCCTCTGGTCTTCTGCAATTATTGACCAACAAAGATGGGCGTTTTAGGTGTTGGCTGACAGCTAACCATGGGAAAGGCATCGTCGCTTTGAATGCTGTGAGACTCTAACAGCAGAAGCCCTGCACTTTTGAAACAGGTCAGTCAAGTTCCGTCTTATCTGCGAATTTGCCTCAGCTTGCTGAGTTGGCAGGAGTGGCTCACTACTTGCTGCCCAGGCGTAGCACACATCACAAACATTCTGTTTCCCATTATCTCCCAGTGCTCAGGAGAAACTCAGCCTTGGTGTTTTGTGCCAGGATGCAATTCCCTTTCACTGAAGCCAATTCTGTTATTTGTGTGTGGTATATGTGTTCACGTATATGCATGTGGAGGCCAGAAGTTGCTGCGTGTCTTCCCCAGTTGCCTTCCTTTCATTAGTGTGTATGTGTTTGTGAGAGTGTCCAGCCAGCTACAGAGGTCCCAGGAGGGGTGTGACTGGTGGTCCAGAGAGGTTAGGAAAGGTTTCTGGGCCCTCAGAGGCAGCAAAGACTCCCCTCTGTTGATGGGGACATGAAGGAGGCCCTAAGGAGGCAGCAGGCCGTGGTCCAAGGATGATAATGAGAGAAGATCCACACTGTGTTGGTCCCTAGCTTTGCCCTTCCCATATTAAAGCAGCATTTTTGTTTTGTGGGCCTGTCTGAGAACTTTAGATGTCTGTAGTTCATATTATTTACAGTTACTAAACAGTCTTAATTCTGTCTTTGATCAACTTTATTGTTTACTGCAAGTTGCTCTGTCTCCAAGAAGCCCCTTGGATTTTTGCCTGGCCTGGTTCTTTCATGTGAGAGCGCTGTGGTCTGTGCTCTGGACGAGCCGATTCTTCCTTGAGAGCCCTGTGGTCAGTGCGCTTTCTGGATGAGCCGATTCATCTTTAAGAGCGCTATGGTCAGTGCTCTCTCTGGACGAGCCAATTCATCTTTGTCCTAGAGCGTAGTTCCTGCCCTCTTTTAAAGTTTCTATTATATTGTGTATGTGTGTGCTTTTGCAAGTGCGTGTGGGTGCCGCGGTAGAAGAGGAGAGGACAGCCTATAGGTTGTCTGTTTTGTTTCCTCCCATGGAGGTCCTGGGGTTTTCAGGCTTGGAGGCAAACAGCTAAACCCTCTCATGCCCCCCCCATTGTTTCCTTATGTCACCTAGGATGGCACAGGCTTGAGATTCCTCTGCCTACCTAGGAAAGCCTCAGCTTTTCCGAGCTCAGCAACTCTGGGAAAATCATTCTGCTCCTCAGAGGGGAGTGGGTAGCCTCAGGTCCTTTACTACCTTTCTTTTCTAAAATTTTTTTTCCTCCTATTTTCTACCAGTCTCAGTTCATTCTGCTATAGCAAAATATCTTAGATTGGGTAGTTTATAAACCATGAAAATTTAATGTTTCCAGTTCTGAAGGCCAAGAAGTCCAATACCAGGATGGCAGCATCCCAAGACTCTTTCTTCTTCATGGATGGCTCCTTCTTGTGTCCTCCCAGGGCCCAGTGTCAAGAAAGCTCCCTTAGGCCTCTTTTATGATATAAGTACCAATCCCATCCAAAAGACTGGGACTCTCATGACCTCATTACCTTTCAAAGACCTTACTTACTTCATACCACACCAGGGATTAAATTCCAGCATACAGATTTTGAAGGTCAAAACTGGCATATTGCAGTAATCAGCCATTGGAGGATCTAATCGCTTAACTCTGTTAGCATTCTCCGGGTGAGGGATGAAGTAGTCTGGATCGCTGCTTTTAAGAAGTTTTCGCTTTTGTTTTGTGACAGGGTCTCAAATAGCCCAGATTGGCCAGGAGATGAGGATGACCTTGGCCTCCTGATCCCCCCACACACACCTCCTCACGACCAGGCTTGATGGCATTCACCAACATACATAGGCATGCCTGTCTTCTGCAATGCTCTGGATTGAACCCAGGGCCTCATTGTGCCAGGCAAGCGCTCTATCCACAGAGCTCCATTCCCCAGCCATGGGCATCTTGCCTTTTTTGCTATCATTCTAAAGCAACTGTCCGATAGTTGAGCCACCAGATGCCTGATCCAGGTGGAGTTAGGTGGAGTCTGATCTGATTTTCTCTGCTATCCTTTTTCAGGGAAGTCACCCAGATATCCCTGGTATGTCACAGTTCTGAGTGGGACCTGCTGGGAGGCCGGAGAGACCCCAACTGCCTTGCCCAGCCTGGTGTCAAGATGCTGAGTTGGAAGCTCCCTAGACTGTTCCGTGTAGATCAGGTGCCTCAGGTACGTGCTTTTTGTTCCACAGCTGGGTTCCAGGGTCTGCAGGGTCTTCTCTTTTAGGCTGCCCTCCGACCCTCCTGCAGAAATCAGGACCCCCTCACCACACCCATGCACCAGGCCAGCAAAGGATATTCCTTCAATGCAACATCTGTGTTGCATCCAGAAGCAAAGTCCTTAGAGGGACCTTAGGTTTGGGGTAGTCAGAGGAAGTAGGAGCGGCTGCTGGCAGGGAAAAGGCTGCTTAGGGCCTATGGTGGCACTTCAGAGAAGGCTAGGGAACAGTCACCTCAGCGTGGCCCTGCACAGTGTTCTCTCTCTCCCTTACTTCCCACACCTCTGTTTTATTTGAAACAGCCTAGCCTCACTCACAATCCCCCTGCCTTGGCCTCCCCTGGGCAGGAATTATAGGCTCCACCAGCGTTCCTAGCTCCAGCCTCCACTCTCGCAGGAAAACTAGGCCAGGTATGGGGTTGGGCAATGGGGAAGTGTAACAGGTCTTTCTTTGGAATGCCAGCCCCCAAAGAATGACACGGAGAGTTCTCACTAGTTATGAAAGCTTGGCCTTAGCTTAGGTGCATTCCTAACTAGCTCTTAAAACTTAAATTAACCCATTTATATTAATCTATGTTCTGCCACATGGCTTGTCACATCCCCTCAGTACAGCAGTCTGATTTCTGTGTCTGACTGGTGAATCCCCCACCTCTCAGATTCTTCCCAGAGTTTCTCTGCCTGGAAGTCCTGCCTGTCCTCTCCTGCATAGCTATTGGCCATTCAGATTTCTATTTAACCAATCAAAAGGTGTCGTTGGCAGGAAAATGGATGGAGCTAGAAAACATCATTTTGAGTGAGGTAACCCAGACACAGAAAGACAATTATCACATGTACTCACTCATAGGTGGTTTTTAAACATAAAGCAAAGAAAGCCAGCCTACAAACCACAATCCCAGAGAACTTAGACAACGATGCGGACACTAAGAGAGACTCACATAGATCTAATCTACATGGGAAGTAGAAAGTAGAAAAAGATAAGATCTCCTGAATAAGTTGGGAACATGGGGACCTTGGGGGAAGATTGAGTGGGGGAGGGGAGGGGCAGGGAGGGGAGCAGAGAAAAATGTAGAGCTCAATAAAAATCAATTAAAAAATGACCAAAAAAAAGGTGCCGTCGGCAGGTGAGGTGAAAGAGTATCACATCTTCATGCTGTGTGATCCGGTATCCTACAACACAGAAGTACTTGCTTAATAGCTTTTCTTGTCTCCTTTTTGTGGATTCCTAGGACTAGAGAGCCATCCCAACACACATGACACACCCAAACACCCTGCTTTCATATGCTCTAAGATTTTGGTTATATGCTATGTCAAACTGGTATGCCTCCATCTTGCCTTGTAGAGAAAGCTCAAGACTGTACCCGTCTCTGGGTCCAGTTTCCTTCCTACAGGACTGAATAAGAATCAACACTATTTTGTTGTAGGACAGTTCATATGGGAATGAGAGCACTTTGGGCTCAGCTGACTACCATACACTGATGTCTTGTAATACCTAACCAAGCTCAACATTGAACAGAGATCCCTGATAGGCTCCCGTCTGTAGGTCTAGAGCTAGCTGGTGCAGGGAAATGGCGCTGGGCAGAGTCATATGCAGTGCAGAGCAGCTGTGGGACAAGATGAGGAAAGCTGGCCGCTCTAGAGGAAGTCCTTCAGCAGGGCCCTGCCTCTGGTCTCACAGGGCTGTCCGTTCCCTTTGCTGCTCACACATCAGTGACTGTGACCAGTGGGAACACAGGGTAAGTCTTGGATTTATTCATTCGTGACATTTTTATTGACTTCTTCCTGTGTGCAGTATGTTTCTCTACAGGACTCGGAGAAGACTTGCAGGCAAGCCCTGTCCTTATTGGGCTCCTCTGGAGCTCAGGGGCCTCTCAAAACCCTCACGCGTATTTTGTAAAGCAGCTCAGAGGAGAGACAGATGTGCCGCCTCTGTCTCAGGGAGGAAGGGATCAGGAGAGAGGCAATTAAGATGAATTTCAGGGACTGGGAGAATAGCGGGTGGTAAGGTGCTTGTTATGCAAGCCTGAGGACTTGAGCTTAAACCAGACAGAACCCATGTGAAAAAGCTGGTGAGTGCTTGTAACCCCAGCGCTGGGAAGGCAGAGATAGGCACTGGTCCCTGCGGCTCACGGTAAGCCGGTCAGCACGCTTAGCCTAGTCTGCAAGCCCCAGGCCAATGAGTGACTCTCTCTTAAAAAACCAAGATGGATGGCAACTGAGGAAGAACCACCCTGGAGATTGACCTCTGACTTCTACACATATGATCACACATATGCATGCATACATGCATACATGAACACATACACACACAAAACAAATAAATGCAATGAAATTTTAAATCCTTCTAGTTAGTTCTGAGCCTCCTGTAGCTCCCCGGTGCGTGAGGGTAAGGGTGACTTTGCTGTGCTGTCTTCACAGTGCTCCGTGTCTCAGGGCCCAGCTGGGGCTGTAATCCAGGTTCTCCGCTTTTTTTTTTTTACCGTTTGTTTGAGTCATCTCTTTTCTTCCTTTGCCTTTCAACCCTTCCTGTCGTTACATTTTAGCTGCGCCTTGTGTAAACAGCTTGCGGTGGAGTTTTAGCTTGGCGGCACATGTCTTTTCCTGCACCGTTCATTCTGTGAATGTTCAGAGTGATAGCTAGAGAGGGGTTTGCGTGTGTTTCAACCGTCCTGTGTGACTCTGTCTTCTCTGCTTCTACCACCCACTCCGGTTGTTTGGGAGAAAGTATCACATTCTGAGTTTCTTTGTTGTCTTCTCATTCTGTTTCCCCCTCTACTGATAGACCAGTTTCCCTATCTGCTGGCTTAGAGATCACTTCAACTGCTTTATCACGGACAGCTATACTAGGCACAAGGTGGAGGCAAACAGGCTAAAAGTCACCCAGGATTGGCCAGGAATGCAGCTTAACTGATAGATTACTTATCAAGCACGCCACCAAGTCCCAGGTTCAAGTCCCAGTACCACAGGCCTATCATCTTAACGGTAGTGCATGAGGTGGAGGCAGGAGGATCAGAACTTCATGGCCGTCTTTGGCTGCATAGTGAATTTGAGGTCAGCTGGGCTCCATGAGACCCTGTCGCAAACAAGTTACTCTAGATACCTCAGTGACTTGAGGTGTCAAAGATTTCTTGCACTTCAAGTTACACAGTTGTTAGGAGGTGGCAAAGGCAAGCAGATGGAAGATCTGCCATTTCCTGGTGGCACCATCTGGAACAGGTGGCTTCCAAGGTCACCACAGAGGGGAAGAGAGAGGACGGCGTCTTCAGTTGGCTTTCCCAGAAACAAATCTGAGACAGAAATAGGGTGTTAGCTAGGGTGCCTTCTCAGATATAGCGCCTTTGAGAAGTGAGGACTGGGGGGGGGGAGAGCCATGGCATCAGAGGGTCTCCCCATCACACAGGGCCATCACATGCCCATCACACAAGGACTCTGCCATGAGCTTCATCGTTCAGAACTGTCCTGAATGAAGAAAGTAGGTCAGGACTTTGAATTCTTGGTAGATGGGCATGGGCTGACCCTGAGAAGGGAACATAATGAAGGCAAGATTGTGCCCTTTGACCCAAAACAGTTTCCCAGTTTCCCCTAAAGACGTGAGTTGGCCGAGTTCTGAGTGTGTAAAATTCCTCTCTGAATTGCATTGTTGGCTCTGCAGGTAAAGGCGCCTACAGCCAAGGCTGACAACCTGAGTTCGGTCCCCAGGACGCAAATGGTAGAAGGCGAGCCCAATTCCTCCTACTTGTTCTATGACCTCTATACAAGCTCTCTCTCTCTCTCTCTCTCTCTCTCTCTCTCTCTCTCTCTCTCTCTCTCTCACACACACACACACACACACACACACACACTAA